CCAGCGTGTGTGTTGTAGGAACAGCGGGGACCCCACAAAGAAAAAGCAGCACATCTGCCACATGGAAGGCTGCGCGAAGGTGTACGGAAAGACGTCCCACCTGAGGGCCCACCTGCGCTGGCACACCGGAGAGAGGCCATTCGTCTGTAACTGGATCTTCTGTGGCAAGAGGTTCACCAGGAGCGACGAGCTGCAGAGACACCGGAGAACACACACAGGTGGAGAAAATACACATACAGAGATGAGGGCCGGTGATGTGGGTTAACATGCGACGCTGGAAGGATTTGGCGTTGATAACATTTTAGCAAATTGGAATCCAGTACATATCCTTATACATAATTGTTACTTATAACAAACTTGTGCTGCACCTGATGATTACTTTTGACCTCTAATCAATCTATGTTTACAAGCCTAAAATCAGAACGCATTAAAATTGTTGATTTTTTTTAACTCAAAACTTAACTAGTTGTTTCAGCTCTTTTCCAAACTCCTTTCAAATCCATTATTATCACTAGTGGTAGACCAACTTAAGTAATTCTGAATGAATTGGCTTTAGCTGTAGACTACACTAACATGGATGATTATTTATTTGAATTTTTCAATGAGCCATCACTAGGGAAGGTCACTAAATTGACATTGCGTTTAACTTTTATCAATGTAAGATAAGAATGTGTTGTCTTTTTAACCCTTAGATGCATAAGTGGGTCTTTTTTGACCCGGTGAGGTGGTTTTCTTAGAGTATCTTTGTAATTACATTTTTTTATCATTTCATATTCCAGCTATTCCTCAAAAAACATGTTTTGAATATCATGCCATTCAAATTTTTTATTTACATTTGATACATTTTAAGAAATTGTAGTTTTTGTATTACTACCCCAAGCTTCCATAAGTGGGTCAAAAATGACCCGCATGCATTTTCTATGGAATTTCGTTTTTTTTTCAAAATGTAAAAAAAAATTATAAAATTATAAATAGTGAAAAATTAAATATAAAATATTTCTAGTGTGAACCAAAATATAATCCTAAATATTATACAAGTGATTTTTCTTAACCAAAATGACAAAAATGGCATAAAAACACATATTATACTAATACGGGTCCTTTTTGACCCACTTTTGGAAGAGTGTAGGGTCCAGTCACTCGTGCATCTCAGGGTTAAAACATGAAGATGCTGCAATCTGCTGATAAATGCTGTGCACACAAAAAATGTTTGGCATTAATGAGTTTTTATTTACAAAATGTCCTCTTTTTTTATACCTGTGGGCATTTATTTAGTGAAGGGTTTTATTTGGTGGATTGTAAGATGTTAAAAGATACCAATATTTATTCGAAAAACCAATATTGTTCCACCAGTAATAAAACAATTCCAACTGTTTTACGACAACTTACTATTTGGAGAGAAGGTTCCAACTAGAGCAGTCAACAACTAGGGAGTTACGTAGAAAACCTAGGGTCCTTTCTTGATTAGATTTTCTCTAATTCTTTGTTTTTTGCCCCTAGGGGAAAAGCGTTTTGAGTGTCCAGAATGCTCCAAGCGTTTCATGCGCAGCGACCACCTCTCCAAGCACATTAAGACCCACCAGAACAAGAAGGGCGGAGCTGCGGTGGCCATCATCACCACTGATGACATGGAGGATGATGTCCCTGAAGACCTGGACGCCTCTCCTCAGATTGTGGCGACCCTCTCTCGTGACTCTGACCCCGCTACACCCACCACCTCTAATCACATGGAGGAAGAGGAGGTGGAAGAGGGGGAGTTTGAATAAGCAACAGACTCCTGTTGCTTTGCTGAAGGCTGACTTCCTGTTTTTTTGGGAGTCTTTTGCAGGGACTTTAGGGGTGGCTACTTTTTCTTTTTACATAATTTAAAAAATATTCTGATGGAAAAAGGGAGTAAAAGCGACAGGATTACGCAATTAACAGAAACAAATAAATATAAACATTACAATTTAAAAATAACACACATATAATAACAGAAATTTAGCCTAAACATATGAAAGTTAGTTTGGCATTTACAGAGTAAATCTAAAATAATTCCATTCACTGTGGGGAAAGGAATGCAAGAAATGTCTAGATTAGCACAAGACGGGGACCTGCAGAATCTTAAAAAACATCGAGAGACAATTTCTTAAACGCAACAGAATTGAACTCTATGCACAAGGTTGTGTTCCTGTTTCATACCTGTCAGACAGTGCTGAGGGTCAATCATGGTACAGGACTGTTGCAGAGCAGTGATAGGGTAGTCTTGGGAGGGTGGGCGTGTGTGTGTGTGTATGTGATCTGTATGAATGAGCGTGCGTTTGAATTCCCACGCTGTCACCCAGAGGATCTACCTAATTTGAGTTTCTTTTTCATGGTTCAGGTTTAGTCCTCTGATCAGGTTCAGGTGTTGATTCCTTTGAGACCAGTCAACGGATAAACTGTTATTGTAGAAGAGAGGGAATAAAAAAATAAAAAAGAGTAGAAAAAAGCACACATATAAAAATGTTTATAAAAAATGCATTCCTATTGAGGCGCCGTGGCCATGAGGAAAAAAAGCTCTATAGATTAAAAACAATCTAGCTTTCTACAACTTTGTTTGTGTAGTGAAAGCAATACTTTAATGACAATCCTAGTGAAACCATGTTTACATTGTCAGGGGAGGTTTTCTCTGTTAATAAAATTAGCCAGTTCGCTCTAAGATTAGTGAGAACATCCGAAAGCAGTGCTGTCGTCCGAACAAAGAGTGTTACTCTGCAGACACCACTGGGTGGCTTTGCCATCACAGTACATTTTTATATGATAAGCGACCATCAGATGGTACATTTTTGTTGGACAGCAGCACCATCACTGATGTTGCTTTTTGCTTTCTGTGCTCTGGTGACAAACCCTCTTACCCTGACCGATGTACCACAATTGCCTTAACACAAGCTGTTGTACAGAAGGAATCTCAGCGTTAGCCGGAGGGAGAAAAAGGGGGAGCCTCTTGCATTTTTAAAGGGTGACATGGAGAGGGCACCACAGCACAGAGAGCTAAGATGAGACAGAGTGAGGACAGCTGTGGGTGGGTCAGGCTATTTAGCTATATGGATATTATGAAATGTTTTCTGGTGGTGTTGCTCTGTGTTAGTTCAGTGCGTATATTATTTTTAAATTAAAAAGAATCATATAATTTTATAGAATTTATCTTGTTTTAAAAAGTCCCCTTAAAGTATGTTAATACACAGGACCCCACTGTGTACGGCTAATTTATTATTTATCCTTGATTTGTACTATTTGCCTTTTGCTGGACTTGTATTTGTGTGCGTTGATTCTGAGGTTGTGTACAGCATGTTTGAGTTTTTTGCCGTAGTGCTGCTTCTCTCTTCTTTACTCTTTGTGCTTCTGTTTTCTTTTTCTACGTCTGACCATTGCCGTTTTATTTCTTCTTCTCTTTGCGCCATAACTTGTTTTTGGAGAAAAATATATAACAAAAGAAGAAGTAAGCAAAAAAGTTACTATTGTTTAAAGTTGAAAAGGTTGATACCAAACAGATTTAGATGTTTTTGGTAATATTTTGTGTGACAACCAACTTTTTTTTTCTTTGATATTTTGTAGTGACATCTCATTTGTAAATCTTTTTCTAAAAGATGTTTATTCGTCTCCATGACATTTGATAATGGGTTTTTTGCCAGGTTAGCCTCAAAGGCCCCAGTTTATTGATATTTTTCAAACTGGTTTGTACAAACGTGTTATGTCTATAAAAAAGAAAAAAAGGACAACCTTGAGCAGAAAAAATATGCTTTGCCTGCATAACACTTGACAATAAAGTGATTAAAACTGTCTCAAATTTCACTCTATTGCCCTGGTATTTTTGTATATCAATCTAATAGAAACCACACACACACACACAGTATTATGACAACAGAGTGTATGGATTAGAGTACATGCCTCTTTAGGGAACAATTACTGTTTTCAATTACAATTTCTGCTGTTGATGGACTCCAAATTGATGCCTTCAAGATGAAACCTGTGACTATTCTGTTACCACTTAAAAACACAAAACTGCTTTGACTGATTGGGTTATTTTCGTTGGTGTGGACATTTAACGGGCTAATAAGCCGTCTTGTTCAATAAAACATGACCTACATTACACCCCAAGCGTTACCCAGCTACGATCAAAGTGTGACTTCTGGGAGTTCACCACCAGGTCACTGACTGCAAGTTTACAAAGAGCATCACGTAGTAGGCAGCTCACGCATACCTACTACGTGTTACTCCTTACAAAAACTTGAAAAAACACCAAATCTACAACCTCTCTCTGTAGCCTCTGCTGTTTCGTGAACATTTTGAGACCAAAGAAAGAAAAGAGATAAACGTAATGAACTCTTTAAATATCAGAACAAGGACAGATGTTTGATTGTATTGCAAGACTGACACTATAGATAAAGAAATAAGACATTAGATTAGATACCATTTGTAATGGCCTTTCTATATCTCACTCACATTGCATGTCTCATGAAGATCCGGTGACCTCAGGATGACCTCTACCTGCTCATTACGTGGGATCAGCTGACTGGCTCAAGAGCAACAGTTGACCTGACCCTACTCACCTGGGGAGATAACACACAAACGTTCAGACAACTCCCATGCAGCATTGTGTGTGTGTGTGTGCGCCTCCCCTACTTGTACTATAGATGGATTTCCCTCCAAAAATCTTAAGTCCCGAAAAAAAGGTTTATATAGCATATAGCATTTCTGGTGATTGAATAAGTGAAAAGTGTATATGAAATAACCACATGGTAAAGCCTATTTTTGTACATTCCTACGCAAGTTAAACTACAATCCAAAGTGATATTTCTTTAAAATACTTCTCATCAGACCATATGAGAAATGTGAGTTATAGTATATGTTTGCTATTATTCATTTAAATGGCTAAATTGTGTATCAAGATATGCTATTTATTATTTTGTTACAATATGATTCCATTGAAGACGATAAATGATCATATTCAATTAGAAAATAATTTACATTTTTTTTAACTTTATTAAAATGTACAGTAGACTGAACGGACACAAATACGGTAGTGAAAACTTTTAGAAAATAAGTTGGTATATACAGTAAAAGGTTCATTTTGCATCTTTAAAAAACTGACAAAATAACCATATCTAAGATATTTACTAGTGAACATCAACAATAGAACTAATCAAATGAAAATATGCAATTCAAACCTGAGAACTGGCTTTCAGAACAGCAGAAACAGGCCTTAATGAGGACATATAAAACATATAGACAGTGTATGTGCCTTGACTTAAACGTTTTTGCTTCTCTATTTAGATGAAATCTAAATAAAAAAATGTGCATTGAAATGAGTTCTACGAAACTGCGCAGCTTCTCTTCTCCGATCTCTCTGGACTTTACTTCAGATCCTTCTGAATACTGCGAAGGAGACAAAACAAGACATGAGTTCAAACTGCGGTAAGGCCTGCAACTGAAGATTATTCCATTCTTGTCTGTCAGCAATGTTTTCAATATTTCTTAATACAAAGAGGGGCAGACAGAAATGAAAAAAAACACTTCATGTATTTTATGAACATATATGCAATCTAACTGACCGATCTGTAGGTTGTTGTAGGGCTGCTCGATTATGGCAAAAATCATAATCTCGATTATTTAGGTCAATAATTGATATCACGATTATTAAAAACGATTATTTACTTTGAAAACATCCATTTATTGAAAAAATAAAATGTGAACAGTATGTTTTTAACAGTTGATTACCCTGAACTTTAAGTATAATTCAACTGAAAAATTTTTAAAAAAATTAAAAATCGTTTTATTTCGATTATGTTGTTTTCATAATCGTTGCAAGCCAAAATCGTAATTGCGATTAAAATACGATTAATTGAGCAGCCCTAGGTTTTTGTACTTTCACACTCCCTTCTTGAAAGCACCTTAAAGAGCCATCAGAGCCCTTTCTTCCTTCTTCCATTGTAAACTAATCATTCTATAAAATATGAAAACATGAATTAGTTTGTCCAACATGCTCCCCAAAGATACATTTCAATATATAAAAATAAGACAAGCTGCACCTCTAGTTCATGCTCAATGCATTAGCACAGACATTACCCAACAGGGATATTACACTTACTGTTCTTAATTAAATTGCTAAAATGTGCACATCATGGCTGTTTCAGGGAGACCCCAGTCAGGTCTGTAACAGTAAACAGTTCAGTGAGAATGAGGTTTCGTACCTCTCCAGATACTTGTGGACATTGTCGTGGCCGTTGTAGCGGGCCAATCCCACCAGGATGCCGGTCGCACAGCGGCCATCCTTCTTACGACACAGACTGCAGTTACACATGTCTCGGCAGATGGGACACGACCACGTCTAGAGAGAAAAATATATATTATGGGTGACCAACACATGTAGTTACTCCTCTACACAAGTGAAGCAATGCTGGGGTTTGTAGGTACATCTGTGGGATATCTTATTTTTCTTTAGACGGTCTTTGCTGTCAAATGCTCACAAACGGCTGTCACGAGAAATGTAAGCTGAAACCAGCATTTCTTCTACGAAAATGTCTTCATCCAAAAGCCCTTTGGATACTCTATTTAAAAGCTGTAATTTGACATTTCTGTATTTGAAAAATCTATAAGAAAGAACTCACAAACATCGCAAAATATTAATATTCATGTGTGAAATATATACATTAATATAGATTGTTTAGGGACAGAAATCTTTGAAACACTTGAAAGCATGACATCTTATAAAAGCTTGTGTATGATAGCACTCCTATTTTTCCTGTTTGCATTAATTATCCTTTCAATAAGACTTTGCGATAGCTTCCAAACAAACTGAAAAGAATAAAATACAAGACAAATTGGTTCTTAATCTGTAACTCACAATGTTTCGTGACATAAACATTTCAGCCACAGATTTGACAGATGTGAGTTTGTCCCAAAAGACCCCACACTCATCTCAAGATAAAATAATCCCAATTAATAAAAAGTGAATTACAGATGACGTGCATTAGCACTGACCGGGTCGAGCAGCACATCGCATACATCCTCCCCGTATCGGTTCTTCAGGCACGGCCCACAGAACTGACCTTTGGCCCCTACGCAGAAACCACTGCGACACACTGTCTTGGTGTCCAGAGTCTTCTGTCTGCACTGGTGACACGAGCTGCCCTGAAGAACACACACACACACACACACACACACACAGTGAAAAACCGCACTAACCCAAGAAACCTGACAGTGTAGTTTTTTGCCAAGACCACTGATTAGGGAAAGCCGGATGTGCCTCACATTCTCCTTGTCCCAGATCTTGTCTTTGCTGCGGTATGCTATGTTGTCCAGGTCTTCTTTGGTGATATCCTCCACTGACCTCACGTCATACTGGCTCTTCCTGGAGCTCTGGCTCTTCCTCCTTTTCTTTTTCTCACCGACATATTCCTCGTCCACCTGACCAATCAGGACCGGCAGATTGCAAATTAAAAATAATTCAAATGTTCCCTCCCTTTTAAGTTACAATTTCATTTTTAGACATTTACTCTATAGACTTAAGTTGACTAGACAACTAACTGGGGATTGTATTAGTGGTTTTTTTAGTGCACTTATTTCTCTCCAAATGTAATAACAGTCTTTTTATTTTTTATTAATCTTTTATATGAAATATATATACTACGGGGGGTAGTGGTGGTCGAATGGATAGTGAGGTGGGCTGAAGATCGGAAGGATCCCGCATGGAACATCACCACTATGTGCCCTTGAGTAAGGCACTTAGCCCTCAGTTACTCCAGGGAGAATGTCCCTGTAATTGGTAATTGTAAGTCGCTTTGGATAAAAGCATCAGCTAAATGAAACGTAATGTAATGTAATATAACATAAAACACAAGTTGATTGCCCGTTTATAAATATACAACCCATGCATCTACTGTATACAATCTAATTACATTATGGATGACATAATGAAGCAATTCCTAAATGGAGAACTCCCAAATCAAGCAAGGTCCCTTTTGTTATGAACTTCATTGCATTATGCATACATTAAAGCTGGGTGTATTCTGTAGATGTTGTTGAAAATGTGTGTGCTGCAACATATCTTTAAATGTAACCCCCTAAATAAAGTACCTCCACCAGTCTCCTGAGGTCTATCGTCCTGGGGCTTCTGCTGGTGAGCGGCTCGCTCTTCTCCTCTACTGCAAAGTTCTCACGGGGACGAGCCTTGCGGGACGGGTTCCTCCTTTCTGAGCCCATCTCTGGTTCAAACTTGCGTTTCCTGGGTGTTGCTTTCTCTGGCGCGTGTTTCTTCTTCTGCAGAGACAAAACAAACACAGGGTTTATAAAAAAATAATAACTTGAGGTTTGTACCATGCTTCATTGAGGCAACCTCAGAAAAGTTAATCTGATCTGTTTCCACAGCACTCCTTAGTTTCAGCAACTGTTAATCATGCAGCTTTGCTTCGAAAAGGTAAATAAGAGTATCTTTATAGAGTGCCACAGTGACGCGTCCTAAAACCTGGAAGTAAACTCCTTCCGGTTCCTTCGACAAAAAACCAATGCAATTTCTCCATAGGATTTGGGAAAATAGCTGGAAATAAGGTCGGTGGTTGACACACATTTAAGAGACGGATCACGTTTTGTTCAGTCGGATAATCTCCACATGTCTACCCTACTTTTATAATTTTCTAAAATCGTAAATCTAATCGCCAGAAGCAAAATGCTAACGTTATGCTATAAACGAACTACAGCAGGGTCGCTGCTTTAACGTCACGCCAACTTAAGATCCATATTCAAAAATACAGATTCTAAATGGTACAAGTTGAAGCGTTTTTTTTAACAGTTTGAAGGAGGCAGGTACTTGCTTTCAAGCAGAACACAGGGAAAAACAAACTTAGCGGCGTAATGACGTACAACGGCCTCGACAACTTCTGTAGTCCTATTCAGCCACTTGGTAACAACCATCGTTTTCCAGACACACAAACTCTTCAAAAATCACCAGCAGGATCACTGCTGATGCATTTAATGTCGTAGAACAAAACGTGATCTGTCTCTTCAATGTGTGTCAACCACAGACCTTATTTCCAGCTATTTTCCAAAATCCTATGGAGAAATTGCATTGCTTTTTGGTGAAGGAACCGGAAGTGGTAAAATGCTAACTTACTTCCGGGTTTTAGGACGCGTCACTGTGGCACTCTATTGAATACAATTTAACCAATAAGGGCCTGTTTCCACATTTGACCCCTTCTCTGAGCGCCAGTGTCTTTTTTCAATTCATTTCAATTTCAAAAAGGCGCTATACGGACACTGGCCCCAAGTTGTCAATATTAGTCCATTTCTAGTTATAACAGCCATGCAATTAGTTCTCCTTGATCGCAAACAAAGTTAATTTTGGAGCTGTTGCAATTACTTTTTTTGTAATATCTCACGGTAAAAAGGGGGAAAACCTGTAAAGTGAAACCAAAAAAATAATAGGTTATTTTAAACTGGCCTTGGTTTGTGTCTTGCGTTGCTTGGTGTATATTTCATTGTTGAGTTTTGTGTATTTTTACATTACTGACTGCTGTGTCCATATCCATTTTGGGCTAATTGCATGTAAACTACATAGGAACAACAGCGATATGCTATCCAATAATCCTTGTAAGGATGTTAACAAGACAACAAAGATTTCTATGTTTACATATAAAAGTATGGTTGTTTATTTAATGTTTATTAGTACAACGATACTGATGATCAATAATCTTTTATTGTTTGTGCGTATACTTACATGAGGGGTGGTGGGAGGAGTCAGGTCAGCCATGGTGCTGAGGTCAGCAAACAGCTTAGCCAGCTGAACACAACCACAGAGAAGATCACAGGTAAAGGAGATGTAACAAAGTGTGTTAGAATATGGATCAAACAAAGGCTTAATTACCATGGCTTTGTTTTCCTGGATGTTCTTGTTTCTTTTTTGTAGGCTCTGAGACAGGACCTCCTCTTCGGCTTCCCCCTCCTCCTCCCTCTCCTCCTCTTTCTCACTCTGCAGCTGCTGCCTCAGTGTCATCCTCTGGCTTCCTCTGGCTCTCTGTGAAGAAGGAGTTTCTTTGACTGGCTTGTTGACACTTTTCTCTTGTGGTTCCATTTTTGGGGTGGATCGTCTTTTGACAGGAAACCTGGAGAACAAGTTTTAAATGAAGGATCAATGGAATTGTCACGAATCAGGCCTGTGTATTCCTAAGGTTGTCACATGCACAGCTACAACACAGTTGTCTGCAATTAAAATCTTCAGTCGCAGCTTCCTACAACAGTGCAACGTTAAACATACTTAAAGGTCCCATGTCATGGCCATTTCTACTGATCATAATTCCATTGTTGAGGTCTACTAAAATAGATTTATATTGTGCAATTTTCCAAACTCACATTGGTTTCTCATACAGCATCTCTGTAAAGTATGTGTATTCACCGGTATTCACTCTCTGTCCTAAACAGCTTGTTGGAGCTCCTGCCCCCCCCTCACTGTGAGCCCAGTGTGCTCTGATTGGTCGGGACGTTGCGAGGCTCGCTGCTCAGTGAGCTGGCTTACTGGTGTGGTTTCCGGGTCGGCGATACAGCAAGACAGCGCAAAACTCATCCTGAGCACACACAAACTCTCACAGCCGAAGTAAAAACAATAAGTGTGGCTTGATATTGAGTAAGAAAAAGGTTTATAAACGCTGTGAGAATGGGTCTGCGGCGAGCATTTCTGTGCGATCCCAACTCGTCTATTACCAACCAGGGAGCTCTATGCAAGTCAATGGGACTCCCTGTTAGTTGAAAATGTACGCTAAAGGAGGTCCCCTCACTGCGTTTGATAGTGACGCCAAGGGATCCTGGTGTGTGAGGAGCTCCGCGGATTGGTCCATCTTGGTTCCGGGAACCGCATGACGTCATGCGGTTCCCGGAACAAACAAACGAGGCGTTCTGGGGCAGCATACACAGGTCTTTTCTGTGTTAGAGTTTTACTCGCTACAGGGTGTACTTTGAGGGTTTTTGACTCTGCAGACCGTTTACATGCATAAAAACCTACATAACACACAAGGGGACGGGTAATAACCAGAAAAGCATGACATGGGACCTTTAAAGACATACAAATAATTCAAGAAATTAAGAAATAAAATAGTGCAATAAAAAGTACAAGTGACAAAATGGTGCGAGTAAAATGCAGGAATAACCATCTTGTGTATTAGAACAAATCAAATGGAAGACAGCAATAATCTGACTATGGCCAATTCACTTTTTTCATCAAAATCACAAATATTAATAATAATAATAATAGCTTGGATTTATATAGCGCCTTTCATGGGACCCAAGGTCGCTTTACAAAGAAAAACAAGAGTAAAAACAAAACAAACAAAAACAAAAAGGCAGTCAGACAAACAGTCAGACAGACAAAACAGGGAATATTTCTACCTAAACAGGATTTAAGGCCTCATATGTGACACAAATAGACCAAATAAGCTCATTGTTAGTGGAAGTGGTAACAACAACAAGAGGCACACACCTCAAGGCTACCAAAAGACTATTCCTCTTTGGAGGGCGGGCCTCGTCGTCATCTGAGTAGAAGCCTGTGTCCACTTCGCTGTCCTCTTCTGAGTCCACCATCTAGAGAAACCAGAGACAACATTTAGCCTGGTGCTTTGGCTGAAGTATCGTACATTTTTCCCCCCCCAAAACAAAAAACAGCCAACAATATGCAATTCCTACCTTGTTCTTTAGCCGTTTGTTAAAAGTTCCTCTGTCCTGCTCTTCTTCATCCTCGCTAAAACCTTCAAACTCCTCCTCACTGTCTGACTGGCTGAACAGGAGAGCCAGCTCAGCAGTGATGAACTTGGATTTGAAGCATGGAGCCTGTTGGCAGACAAACCAAGCATCATATTAAACCAAGTTTAGATGGTGTAGAGTTTTTGACATCCAGTAAGGCCAAGGAGCTGATTTTTATAGTAGCTCCCTGTTTTGTTTGGGTCCAGTGTGCACACACAAGACAAGGGACACAGGCGTTACGCTATCAGAATAAGAAAAAGATCACCTTGTAAGGTAGCTTTCCACCTTGGTTAGGATTTATACTTTAGATTTTATGTATTTATCTTATTGTTTGTATGCATGTGTGTGTATGTACATTCTATACAGGTTTGTCATTTTAAAATGTATAACTAACTTGTTTGCAGTCTTTTGTTTGTCAATTAAAATACCATAACTTAAAACACATGGATGAAGAAAAATGCAAGCTTCCATCAGATTCCAAAAACTCTGCTTTGTAAATGTTTTATGGTGAAGAAACAGCACTCAATGCATGTGTTAGAACGTAAAGATACACGCAATGCTTTAGGTGTTGTAACTACACACTCATTATGGTTCTTGAGAGGAAAACTGTAACTTGCAACTTCTCAGATACAGTTTCAAACTTTACACAAGAGGGAGCACCGTTCCAACAGTGTACATCCATGATTACTGAACTGTCTGCGGTGGGAAGGAGCGGTGGGAAGGAACAATGGAGAAGTTCAGCTGTGGCACTGTGAAAACTATGAAGCCGTTTTCATGATTTGACATTGGCAGATGTTAAACTTAACCCAAGAAACGTCCTTATCACATCCAACCCGTGCAGCTTCTCAATGTATGTCCAATGACAAAGTGAAGTGCAAAGGAAACAAACACTTAACTTGTACTTTCCGGGGATTGGCTTTACTTCCTCATTGTTCAACAGAACCCCCATGCTGTGCGTTTATTAAATAAATATTAATTACAATTTCTTTTTTTTCTTCTGACCTTTTTAAAACTCAACATGAAAAAAAAACGTTTTTTTGTTGCTGTAACCTTTCTATATTTGGACAGGCAAACTTGATGAAGGTATCAAATAATGGAAAATACACCACAGCATGATTATTTCATTTCAAAAGTAAGTATTTGTGTACAGGTATAAATATCTATCTATGATACTTTCCACATCAAAGTTATAGACTATATAAAGATCTTATGCATTCAAAAGATTTTACAGCCAAAGTCTAAGATCCAGAAAATAAGTAATGTAATATTTTTCAGTAGCTGGCTTTGTGAACATGTAATTCAAAAATCACCTTTATAAGCATTTCCTTACATTTAGGTAAAGTCAAGACTCATGACGTATCTAGCTGATATGTAAACTGGTTGTTTTTTAACTGGTAAAGAGGTCCAGGACCCAAAACAATACCAGCGTCAAGTGTTAACATGTTCTTTTGTGGGCTCTTATAATTACATTGTGCAAGCATTTTACTAGGTAAAGACTGACTTGTAAAGCTTGGAATCTTTGATAAATATGTACATGTGAGACTGTTGTTCAAGTGTAAAACAGAGTTAAGGCCTTGTCTGATCTATTTGTTTATGTCCCAGCTCCCACTTGTGAACTGTCCTCTCTAGTCTAAGAAATGTTGACCTCTGACCTTAAAAGACGAGACTCATCTCCTTGATACAATTACCTTTACTTTGAGCATCAGCTAACTGTACATATATTCAGCCAAAATGCAGGCAGGTGGAAGAAGTACTCAGAGTGTGTGTTTAGGTACCTACCAGAGAGCAGGGATACTCTGTTACAAGTCCTGCTTCCAAAATCTTACTTAGTAAAGTAAAAGCACAAACGTATTGGCATCAAAATATACCGAAAGTACCAACAGGTAGGTGTTATGCAGATTGGCCCATGTCCGAGTGAAATATAAATGACACGTTCTAATTATAATCATTATTGTATTTACTTTGTTTGCTGCAGAGTAGCTTGTGAATTGGAATACTCAAGTACAAGTCCTTCAAAATTGTACTTAAGCACAGTACTCTTAGTAACTTTAAATCACTGCCAAAATGTAAACATGAACATTTATGTGATGAAACTCACGTGTAAGCTAGCTGCTGGTCAAACCAGGTAAAAAACAAATACAATACAGGGTTTGGAAATAGACTTTTACACAAAACATAACGGCAGCATGTCAGGGTTACAGAACAGAACTAACTTCAGCCGAAAAACACCCTTTTTCAGAAGATAAAAGTACGTTTCTTTTTAAAAATGGGGCATACTCAGGCCAGGTGAACCGACAGCGTTAACAATGGTGTATAGTTTGAGTACTTGTGACTTTTCTTAACCACGCAATATAACGGGGGGAATAGTTAGATTGACACGAAGTGCTATGCCACTTACCTTTGATGTGAGGGTCATTTTTATTTCAGTGTAAGGCTAATTTCAGTCCAACAGAAACTTTTGTCTTGTAACATGAAAAGCAAATGGGTAAGGAGGGTTTAAAAATTAACCGCTGGTGAATTCCTTTCAATACAAAAGTAGGGGCTTTGTTATTGCCCTGCTTATACGTTAGTTTTGAGGTCATTCGAATAATTATAACAAGTGAGACTCCACTTAGCTCTCTGTATTACTGAAAGGTTTTTGCTCTCTTTTGGTTTTCGATGAAGATGTAACTGTATGTTAAGTAGTCTCTTTATTTTGTATCACCCCCGAACCTCATAATGGTGCAGTCCGTCCTTTCGCGCGAAAACGGCATATGGGCGTGTTAATCAAGGAGAACATGCCCTAGATCCCTTTACATCCATGGGTTTTACAAAACCCTCCTTTTAAATGTTTCAAGATACCAATTTAAAAACACACTTGACTTCTTATAAAAACGTAGAACCAAATCTAAATATTTGTAAATGTTATTATTTGAATTTTTGTATTGTCTCGTCCCTCAAATGTGTTGTTCAAAAATCTTATTTTGTGTATATTTACATTACATTACATGTTACTTGTTAGACGCTTATATCCAAAGCAACTTACATACTCAATACTGTGGGCAATCCCCACAGGAGCAATTTGGGGTGAAGTGTCTTGCCCAGGGACACAACGACATGCTGACTGCAGTGGGACTCGAACTTGGTATCCTCTGATTCGAAGATCAGCGCCACACCCCTCCCTTTTACCTAATAATACACCTTCACATTTACATATTAATAGTTTGAAGTTATTAATCACATTGCAAATGTTTTTTTTTGTTTTGCAATTCATTCGGGTTTTAAAATCGTGAAAATACTGTGTTTTATTTAGTTTTTAAGAGTTTAATTATCAATAATTTTTATTGTTTATTATCAATCAATTATTTTTCTCAGTTTAGTCAATGAAATGTTCAAAATAGCAACAGGATAGGCTTCGTAATATAATATAACAATAAACAATTAGGGTTTATTCTGCAGCTTTATGAATGTTTCTACTTATGATAGCCTACTTCACATAGCTGCATGTCATCCCTTCTGTCTACCAATTTAAATTCTGACAAAAACAATAAAGGCACTGTTTGTCCGAATATACTCTTAAAAAAACCACCAACTACTATTCAAATATAAAAACACAAATGTGACAAAACACATGCAAATGAAGAAAAAACGACACCAACTTTATAACGCATGCACATAATTTAAAGAGCATTCACCAACTTGACGAAACATGCGCAGGGTTTACTAAAAGCGCTGCATAGACAAAAACGCTACAAATACAAATCACAGCAAATAAAAAAATGCTGCAAGAAGCTCAAAACGGAAAGGGACACTAACGGCCCGTCCACACGGCGGCGTGCGTTGTCGCTTGCCGGCGGGGGGGGGCTGAAACTCGACCAACAACCAATCACATGAATCTCCCGCCCCGGACACACAAGCACGCGGTTTGATTGGCTAGAGCTTGTACTGGCATATGATTTGATTGGCTGACGCTTCCGCCGAAGCTTCAAAAGTTGAACATTGCTCAACTTTCGTCGCGATCAACGCGAGCAAATCTACGCTAACGGCCCGTCCACACAGCGGCGTGCGATGAAGCTTCAACGCTTCTGCCCATTCACTTTGAATGGGGTGACGTCAAGCTTCGCCGAACTGCATTGTGGGAGCGAAGCGTAGATTTGCTCGCGTTGCTCGCTGCAAAAAGTTGAGCAATGTTCAACTTTTGAAGCTTTTGAAGCTTCGGTGGAAGCGTCAGCCAATCAAATCCCGTTTATGTAAATCTGCCAGTACAAGCGCTAGCTAATCAAACCACGTGTATGCTGGGAGAGACATTTCCTCATATTCCAAAACATTTAGGAGAAATTAATTATAACGGTAGGGAATCACCCGGTGCTTTACGACCAGTCCTTATTTACCTACCGGGATACAAACCGGAGGAGCCAGGCATGGAGGGAGGTGGCAGAGACAGTGGGTGAAACTGGTAGGTTTTCGCCTGTTTGGGGAGTTTATATCCAGTTTACTTCGTAAACTGTATGTCGGGGGGGGCGGGAGATTCATGTGATTGGTTGTTGGTCGCGAGAACTCCCCAAGCTTCAGACACGCTCACCGCCAAGCTTAAACGCACGCCGTTGTGCGGACGGGCCGTAAAACGTGATGCACACAGCTGGGACTGAAGCGCTCATTGACGTTCGGGCGTTTTCCCCTGTCAGCCAGCGCAGTACTTTGACGTGACCAGAAAGAAAATGTAAACGTATAAACAATATTAACTAGATGACGGGGGACTTGACCTGAGTATTTCTTAAAAGCCTGGATATGACCCAGCTACTTAATATTTGTATCAATTTCCAAGGGCAATTACACAGCACCTGCATCACACCAGGCCTTTTTTTCCTGTTTGTTTCACATCATAATTATCCTCCACTGCTGTTTAGATGTCAGAAGCCTGATGGGTAAAATACTCATCAGGATGAATGCAAAATGATAGGGGTTAGCGGCTACATGCCAGCTGGAATCAGTGTGGATGAGACAGAAGCAGCTGTTGACACACTGCAAACATGTTCTGCCTCTTTTGGCTTTAAGTTTATGGCTCAGAAGAGAGTGGTTTTACCAATCAGTGGTTCAACCTGCAGCCCCTGCAGTCAACATGTCAATGGGACAAATAATTAACCCTAAATTGCTCCCGATTGCATGGCCAACAGTGTGTGAGTATGTGTTAATCTTGTTCCACCTTAGCAGGTGGCACTATATGAGTCTGTGCTGTTGTTCAACTTGACTTATGTAAAAGTGCTTTCTGGGGTCGCAAGAGAGGAAAAGTGCTATATAAATGCTGCCAATTTACCATTTACACTTAGTCTCTATTTCTATCTCCTTCCAACCTTTTTTCCTGTTCCTCTCTCAATATAAGATGTCTACCACAACGAAAGGCCCATGATCTCTTAACTGAAGCTGATACTCTAGTTTTGGGTTATTTTGAGAGTTTAAACTTGGAATACTGTTGTCCAGGGTGTGGTCCGCATTAGTCAACAATACACAGAAGGATTGCGGGCACTTTTATTGCACCCGGTTATTTTCCAGTAACTCTTCAATCAAATAACAAAGGAAAAAAGAAGTTTGACTTTAAAAAAAAAATGATCAACCAATGGTTTGTTTTAATATTTGTTTTTGTTTCCCAACAAAAACAAATCATTTTATATGAATTGCATTGAAATCTGAGACACAGGTGATGATAAACATGTCTGTAACCATTCACCATGCTGCCACTTTGAGTTTCACGCCCTGCCTGAATATACTCTATATTGAATAGAGTGCTATATATATATATATATATATACACACACACACACTATACTCTGTAATCTTTACTATATCTGATAACTCAAGCCCTCCTTTCGTTACACAGAGGATGAATGTCTTTATCAGAAAATAGTAGGCCTACTGTCGAGTACATTTTAGGTTTGTACGTTTACGTCGATGTGAAAGATAAACATAAGTAGTGTCCCTGTCCATTAAACACCTGTTGTTCCCATAACCAGAACATTAGTGATGGTACTTTTCCCAATAAATCATGTCCCTAAGAGGCCAAGACTAGGCTCATCACTTTGAAGCATTCCTAAATAAAATCTGTACAAAAACATAATGTTTATTGAACAAAAGACAAACAATAACCAAAGCAGGACTATACGGTCAACAGAGCAAGTTCAGCCCGTTGGTCATCCACACACCAGGTGCCGTAAATACCTGACCACATCCATGTGATCATTGAATGATATACAACCGTGTGTGGTTCAAACAAAGTATAATACCAGGAATAATAAGCAACGGCTCAAGTCTGTGGATCAAATTGTAATAATGCATCAATATTTACTAAATGTTTTGATATTTTAAAAAAAAGGTGTAGAAATAATTCCTTTAATTAACCCCTGGAGTGACCAGTGTGAATGTAACATTCATGAAAATAAAAGGTTAGACAAAAGGACTTCTGTTCACACACATAATTTTACATCTGTGTCTTTATTGTTATCATGTTAACAAAACAGGTGAACACGTAACATCTCAGCTGCTAAGGACAAGTTGTGCGAGATGCACAAACTGAGGGAAAAAATGTTGAACAAGGCGCATCATTCCACTTCTCCCACCAGTTGTTGAGTACACAGTCTTCACCTAGTCCGCTGTTGTTTGGTTCTCCTTTATACCAAAAGAAATACTTGGCTGCACACCCATCAGACCACATCCATCTTCCTTCTTCGTAGATGTCACCGAGTCCGATCCATGTATATCCCTCAGCAGGGTCAGATTTTTTGATCAGGAGTTTGACAAAATCCTGTTCCTCTCTACTGTGGATAGACACCAGGTTGCCTCCCTGGGACACACAGTAGAGCTCTGCATCAGCCCAGGTCGTCTCTGTGTTGAAGTACTTGTAGCAGCGGCCGTTGAAGGAGAACCAGAAGGAAGGACAGGTGTCTTGCTGTAGCTCCATTAGAGGTTCATCTGAAGAAGAAACATCACCCAGAGCCAGGCCCAACAGGAAGAGGAAAACCAGCATGATGATGTCACCGTCTCTGTCTGTTAAAGTTGCACTGAACCGTTGGAGAGGATGGAGATTGTGAAGCTTCAAGTGACAGGCTGCTTCTTTATATGTGTGGGACTGTGACGTCAATGTCACGTGACGTGATCACATGACCGGTGCCCGGTAAAATGTAAGTTATAAAAGTTTTGCCGGCAGTTTCAGAAAACCTTTCTCTCTTTGCTGGCTGTACGCTCACCGTTATCTCGCTCAAGGTAGGACTCGCGGGTTTAAGGTGGTGTTATGGTCTTTTAAATTAACCTATGGAAGTGTCTCAGTTCAGTTTGGATTTTATTAGGGCGAGGGCAAGATACGTTTTCCCATCATGGAGGGAAACTCTTCTGACATTCAAAGCACGAGACCTGGTCTGTTGCAAGCAATGTGGTGTTTTACTAAACGTTTTAATCGTTTTTAAGCAACTTGTACGTGTTTTGCAGAGTGTAGAAGTGCTCATAACCAGCCAAGCAACCCGGGAAACTGGCAATGGACGTT